CTGTGCGTATCTGGCAGAGTAAAAATGTGTGCTTGTGTTCAATGCTTTATTCTCAATGCTCATGAGTTGCTAGCCTCCCTTTGGATGTTGAAAAAAAGCACATTACCCTTCAGAGTGCACAGGCTGTTTGGGGATTCTGCAGATTGAGCTTTTCCTGGGCTATCAAGGCTGAGCTTTGTATATCAGGTTCCTTTCTTCCTGCTTCCTGTAGTACCTGGCCCAGTGTGTGTGGGATCTGTGCACGACACTACAAACTGACTAAATATTGCCCTAGGCAGAGAAGAATTACGATAGTCAATCTGTGTGTGTGTGTATTTGTGACAAAGTTATTGTCTTGTTGCCAGCTAGGCTACAGTGGCATCATCATAAGTCACAGCCATCTCAAATTCCTGGGCTCACATGATCCTCCTACCTCCTGAGTAGCTGGGACTATAGGCGTTGCCACCACACCCAGCTAATTTTTCTAATTTTAGTAAAGGCAAGGTGTCACTCGTGCTCAAGCTGGTCTTGAACTCCTTGCCTCAAGCGATCTTCCCACCTCAGCCTCCCAGAGTGCTGGGATTACAGCGGTGGGCTACCACACCAGACCAAGATGGTAAATCTATTTGAGAGAAATGGTCCCACAACCACCTCCTTTAGCACAGGCTAATAATAAAGGAGGCAGCTTGTTAAATGTGTGCTTAGAGGCCATATATACGGCTTTATTTCATTTTCATGAAATGAATGATATCTCTGTTTAATGTTGCTTTTTGTGAACCAAATGCTATTCCCTTTGGCTCTTTGTAATTTCAGACACAATTTTCCATGACTTCTGATCGACCTTTAACTGGCAACAGATCTCAATTTAAGCTTTAAATTTTATTTTCCTTTTGCCAAGTTTTTACACTAATGTTCTATAAAAGAGTTAAGGCCCCTAGGAGAACCCCTATCTTAATCATAACCAAGAAAAGCTGTTATTTTACCATTTGTATAATGTTTTACTGTTTTCCTGTACTAGGCAAATGAACACCTTACAAGGCCCCTTTTTAAATAATTAGATTTCCAGATGATGATTCTTTAAAGGGCTGTATAATTTTTTTCCCAAGGTACAAGTGTGTATAGTTATGAGTGTGTAAACACACACGGCATTTTCTTGATAGAACACACTTCTCTGACCTGCCCGTGTTCCGTGCATGCGTGGAGAAATGCTTTCAGACCAGGCCTCAGAGCAGAGCTGGTGGCCCAGCCACATCACACACCTCCTACCTTGATCTCCTACACACCCACCAGCTCCTGGCTTCTCACTGGGTGCTGACTGGACCGTGGAGACCCACAGGCTCAAAGTGCACTGTCCAATCAGAAGCTCAGTGTTGCACAGCCTGGCTTAACACCTGCATGTTGTCCCCTGGACAGGTGACTTAGTAGGTGTCACTAACCCTTCAGACCCTTCTTTTGTCACCTTCTCAAGAAGCGGTTTTTCTTCTAATGAAATTACTTATCAGCTTGCACCATTGGCTTCTAATGACCATTTCCTGGGTTCTGTATCATAATCTTTTTTTTGGTCCCCATTTCAGACCTGCTGAAACAGAATCTTTGAGGGTGGGGCCCCAAATGTACATCTTACCGAACTCTCTGGCTGGTTCTTTCTCCACACAGTTGGAAAGCTGAGAATCCCTCCTCAGCCTGGGTCTTCTCCCACAGCAGGCAGGTGGGGAATTTCACTCATTTCACTCATTTGACAAAAATGTATTAGGAGCTAACTAGGTTCTGGGCATTCTGTAAAATTTTTAATATTCACAGATGAGTAAAGAAAGCACATCGTAGTAACAGTAACCCAGTCACCCAGTATTGGTGAGAAGCATTAACAGCACACAAGTGATGTCTCAGCAGTTCAAGGAGGTGGACAGTATCCCTGCAAATGTGCAGGAGACAAAACAAAGGTGGCAGGCAGCAGACCAGGGATTCAGGCCCTTTCCACACCAGTAGAGATAGCACCTACAGATGTGACAGAGAAAGGTGGGGGGTGGTGAGCCAGGTGGACTGACTGCACCAGGGTGGTGGGGGAGGCCTCCCAGTGGGGTGACGGCAGGGCTGTCTCTCATGTGGGGGGACATGAAGGGCACCCTTCTCCACTGATCTGCCTCCACCCATGTCATGACTTTTCAGAGCATAGGAGGCATTTTATTCCCAATAGGTCAGGCCATTTGATTTCCCCAGCTTGGCCAAAATGACTGGACCTTGGCCATTCAGAGGAGTCAATGGGATGAAAAGTGGTCCACCCACAGGAGAAAGGAGTATAAGCTGCAGATGGCAACACAGATGGGGGAAAACTTGCTGGGGGAGGCCATGATAAAAATATAACCAGAATGCCAAATCCACATCTCACCAGGCTTGTGAATGTTGCTAATTTACTCCGAGTCCTGAGATAAAACCAGCAAATCCATCTTTCCTTAACCCAGATAGACCCTAAATTACATCCTTTAAAACCTGTTCTCTTCCCACAGTGTTTTCCCCAAAATCAATCTGTGAGACCTTCCCTGTCATGTGCAAAGTGTCCCTTGGCTAATTCTTACCTGCTTCACGTGGGGCAACCAGCAGGGAAGTGCCTGGAGTGTCTGCATCCATATTCCAGGAACTCCATGAGCATGACGAATGCTGGGAATTCCACAGCAATTTGTCATGACTGGCTGCTTGAGGAATTAGCAGAACTCTATCCTGGAAGGCAAATGTTCCAGAGAAGGTTTTCTGGCCATGACGTCAGTATTTGCCCAAGTCAGATTAAGAAAATAATCAGTCATATTTAGTCCTGGGGAATAGAGAGAGGAAAATTACCATCACTTGTACCCACCCCACCCTTTTTCAAAACATACAGTGAAGGCTGGAATGGGAAGGCATACAAACATACAGTTTTCAAACATACAGTGAAGGCTAGAGGAAAATTACCATCATATATACCCACCTCACCCTTTTTCAAAATATACAGTGAAGGCTAAATCTCTACGGCCGGCAGGGAGTAGAGTGGGCCTCTCTCACTGGGGCTGTTTTCTGCTCATGGGGCAGAGGGCTCCCCCAGGAGCCCTTAGAGCCCTCACTGAGCTCATTTGTTTCAGCAAACTTTATTGAGTTCCCTCTGTGTTCCAGGCACCACACTGGGCCTGGAGATACTGTAGTGAGCAAGACAAATGTAGATCCTGCCCTCCCGAGGCTTTTATTTTTGAGGGAGCCTAGAAGGGAAGGAACGGCCACCTGGCCCCATGAGGGAGGGATAGAAACAGCCACCAAAAGAGAAGGCCAGGGGTGGGGATCTTGCTGGCAACACAAGCCTATCTCTGGGATTCCACTGCCACTGGGGACAGAGGGGTAGCCGCAGAGCCTGAAGAGGGCTCAGCCTGGACACCAGGCAGCCTGCTTTCTTCTCTTCCTCCTGGCTGACCTCCTCTCCTTGTGAATTGAGGTGCCCCAGCCTCGGCACTGGTGACATGTGGAGCCTGGGCACGGCCATCAGGGCGCCCTGTGCATGAGAGAGTTTAGCAGCATCCCTGGCCTTTGCCCACCAGATACCAGTGACACGCCTGATTTGCAACAACCCAAATGTCTTCAGACATTGCCACCTATCCCCTGGGGCAAGACCACCTCCAGGGGAACCCTGCTGTTGAGCCAGGCCTCCTGAGGAAGCCAGTCCCCACCTCAGGCACACACTTCTTCCCTTCCTGGCCCACAGAGAGCCTGGAGGTCCCAGGAATCATGTTGCCCTGTCCCTGGGCCTTGTGCCCTTTCGATGTCACCAGTCTGGCCAGGCTGCCTCCCTTCCTGCCCCCAGGTAACCCTTCGTCTCGTTTCTTCTTTCCCTTTCAAGCAGTTCCCAGAGTGGGTTCCTGGAAACAGTGCCCCCTCAAGTTATGCCATCACAAGGGTTCTGTGGAGAAAGAGCCTTGAGAAACCACCACCAGTATTTAGGGCTCTGACTGAGCATGTGTCTAATGGGTGGCTTTAAGTGTGTTTCTATTTCCCATCCCCTCCAGGGCCTGGCACAATACACAAGATGCTCAGGAGAAGCTCTTGGAGAGAGACTGAGGACAGGGGCAGCTAGGCCACATGGCTGCAGGCCAGTAGGGGCGTCCAGTGTCCTGGGCTCACATGGGTGGCCCAGGCCTATGCCACCTCTTCGCCCTGGCCCTGAAATCACTCAGAAGTCCCTACTCAGAAGTCCCTGAAGAGTGAGCTGTGGTGCAAGGACAGCCACCCTGCCCCCAGTAAACCAGCTCCAGAGGAAATAGGAGGTATTGGGGGGGCTGACAGCAAGGCCCCAGGTACTTCCTCTCCTGGGAGGGGCCATTCCACTCTGAAGCCTCTGGGGAGGCAGTTTCACACTTGCCTGAGTATTTTCCCTGAGGTCCCAGTGTATTTTCCTCCAGCTCTATTTTAGGAGTATCAGGGGTCCAGGGCATGGGCTCTGAATGCAGGTGAGATTAACAAATGCCACACAGCCCACACTGATCACCAGGAGAGATGGGCATGGGTACTTTAGATAGCCTTATCCAGATGAGACCCTTCCCCTGGGCACAGGCACCCAGACTGTACATGGGATAGCTAGAGGGGCCTAGGCCAGACGACAGGGGTGCCCCTTAGGGAACCAGGCTCCACCATGGTCCCCAGGGCCACATCCTGCACGGTCAACTTAGAAAACTAGATGAAAAGAAAACAGATCCCACAACTGCTGGTGCTGGCAACAGGCACCTCAAACTGTTGCTGTGTCGTTGGAAACGGCCTCCTCTGGGAACACACTGCCTGCCTCCGCCAGGGAGGGCCTCATGGTCTCTTTTGGACACTTCTGCCAGGTTTCAGGAGAGGAAGTAAAAAAAGAGTTGGGCAAACTTTGGCCTTAGTTTGTTTTTTCCCTAAAACCAGTTTTACGAGGTTATCTCTAAATCCCAAATAGGACTGTACCTGCCCCTCTCACAAACAGCACAAGCATTCAGTAGCATTAACACATTTGGTCTCCATCTTGTGTGTCTCTGCAGAAGGAAAAGAAGAGTGGGCTCCTGAAACTTCTTGCTGGGGCATCCACCAAGAAGAAGTCACGCTCCCCACCATCAGTCTCCCCAACCCACGATCCCCAGGCGGCAGTGGAGGCCTTGCTCCAGGGCGCAGTGGGCCCTGAAGTGTCCTCACTATCCCTCCACAGCAGGGCAGGGTCCTGCCCCATTGAGAGTGAGATGCAGGGTGCAGTGGGGATGGAGCCGCTGCACCGGAAGGCGGGCTCCTTGGATCTGAGCTTCTCCTCATCCCCCTCCCGGCAAGCGCCTCTCTGCATGGCTGCCCTGCGCCCAGAGCCCAAACCACTGCCCAGGGAGAGGTAAGGGGAGAGCCAGCTTGCATCATTTGGGGCCGGAGCCACCTTTGGGGAATGGGGACAATGGGCTTCTTGGAGGATGAGGCTGACCTGGCATCTCTCCTCCCTGCGGCTTTACTCGCCTGAGCATCCAGTGAGGCTGGGAAGCACCTGGCTCCTGGGTTTGGGACTGTAGGAGTCATCTGGAGATTTGTCAGACTGAAGTGATTCTGAGTACAAATAGGAAGAGACTAGGTGGTGAGGGGATCATGTCCTCCACAGGTGAGCCTCTCAAGCCTCACCCATGTTGGATGTCAGAATGACAATACATCATCCTCAAAGTGGCTTCAATGGCATATAGTCTGTTAAAATACTAGCAATTTCACCCCAGAGTTTTACTGAGTCCAGTCCAGGTGACATGGCCCACAAGTGTTTGAGTTTTACTGTGCGTCAGACGCCCGAGTCCGGTCCACCCCTGTGAACTGTGCGACCTAAAGGAGCTCTCAGATAAAGGCTGAGCCAGAGATTCAGGCCAGAGCTTTCTGACCACAGAAGCATAAGCTCTGAGCTACCTCCCATTCTGGGGTACAGCAGCCCCTCTGTGTACTCACAGGGCCCACCAGGGCCCCCTGTGTTTTCAGTATGTGGACAGTGTGGACACGTCACAGCCCTGCCCAGTATCAGCACCGCTTCTGGGCCCTCGACAGGCCACCTGCACTGCCACATTTAGCGCCACCAGGCAAGGAAAGACCCAGGGACAAAGTGCCTCCTCCTCTGCCTCAGGAGCACACACTACCCACACACCACACACCAGACACACACCACACTCTCCACACATACCACTCACTATACACAGCACACATACCACACGCTCTACCATTAGTGGAGTCAGATTGCTGAGAACTGGTAAGAGGGCTGTAACCTTGGGATGCGAGTGTTACGTGACATCAGGTTAGAAATGCCTGATGCTCCAGTCTCCCCAGGGACGCTGCAGCAGCCCTGGCAGGTGTGGAGCTGAGCTCTGGAGCCACCCTACCCTCTGCACACTGCCTGCTAGCAATGTTGCAGAGTGGCTTTGAGCCCACGGGTGCACCTGCCTCCCATCAGCCATTTCACCCCAAACAGATCTTTTTGTCTCTTTGAGTCCTAGTTCTTTCACACATGAAATGGCAATAGTAATACCCGCCTGACAGAAATAATGCTTGTAAAGCACCTAGATTAATACCTGGAAAAGTCCCCGCTACTTGGGAGGCTGAGACAAAAGAATCAGTTAAGCATAAGAGTTTGAGGTTGCTGTGAGCTGTGACACCATGGCACTCTACCATGGGCAACAAAGTGAGACTCTGTCTCAAAAAAATTAAAAAGTGTTTGGCTCCTGCCAGGTACAGGGCTGATGCCTATAATCCTGGCATTCTGGGAAGCCAAGGCAGGAGGATGGCTTGAACTCAGGAGTTCTAGACCAGCCTGAGCAAGAGCAAGACCCCATCTCTAAAAATAGCCAAGTACTGTGCTGTGCTCCTGTAGTCCCAGCTACAGGAGAGGCTGAGGCAAGTGGATCACTTGAGCCCAGGAGTTTGAAGTTGCTGTGAACTATGAGGCCACGGCATTCTACCCAGATCAACAGAGTGAGGCTCTGTCTCAAAAATAAATAAGAAATAAAATAAATAATAAAGTTGTTTTTCTTTGATCCATTATGTGTTATGGTATGTAGAATAATGGCCCCCAAAATATCTATGCCTTAATCCCCAAAGAGGAAGTCAGGTTACAGGTGGAACTAAGGTTGCTGACCAGCTGGCTTTAAAATAAGGAGATTGTCCTAGATTGTCCTGAAGGCCCTGTGCAATTACAGGGGTTCTGATGAGTAGAAGGAGGAAAAAGAGATCAGAGTGGCATGATGTGAGGACTCCGCCTCCCATCATCTTTGAAGATGGAGAAAGAGGCCTCCAGAGAATGGATGCAGCAACTTCTAGAAGCTAGGAAAGACCCAGAACCTGCCCTGCAGATACCTTGATTTGGCTCAATGAGACTATGTTGGATTTATAACTTAGGGAACTGTAAGACAAGGAGCCTAGTGTGATACCACTGAGTTTGCAGTCACTCATGACATCAGCAGGAGGCAACTAATATGTGTGCCAATGTGATAGTTGAGGGTCCACATTCCACCAACTCAGAGGCTAACTTGTCCTCAGCTGTGTTGAAGCAAATGCACTGAAAAGGCCACCATGTGGGCCTGGAGAGAGGGTCAGGGCACTCCAGACTTCACACGTTGAGCTAATGGCAATAATAATAAATGCAGTGATAATAATTCATTCTGCAGGCTTAGTGCCTATAGCTCAAGCAGCTAGGGTGCCAGCCACATACACCAGAGCTGGTGGGATCGAATCCAGCCTGGCCTGCCAAACAACAATGACAACTACAACCAAAAATTAGCCGGGCATTGTGGCAAGCACCTGTAGTCCCAGCTACTTGGGAGGCTGAGGCAAGGGAATCACTTAAGCCCAGGAGTTTGAGGTTTCTGTGAGCTGTGACGCCACGGCACTCTACCCAGGGCGACAGCTTGAGACTCTGTCTCAAATAATAATAATAATAATAATAATAATTCATTCTGCAGTTGGCCATTTGGATTTCCTGAACCTGTGTCTAAAGGTTAGCTGTGGTTGATGTACCTCGATTATCCTCAGCAGGGCAGAGTCACTCACTGATGTGTGATGTGGGAGTAGCTGTGGTTCTCACTGTTCACGGGGACAGCCCTATGCATCTGTAATGAGGTATATCAGCTAATTCTCCTGCAGCAGGAAGATCAACTCAGAGTATTGGAGTGATCTGGACAGAAACATTGAACACTCATCTGGTATGAATTCAGCCCACATCCATCTGGGCTCATTAGACCCCAAATCGCGCAGAAGCACTAAAGCACTTCTTCCTAACAAATTGCATTTTTAAAGCTGCTTGTTTTTTCACATCTGACAGTTGAGGCGAAAGCCACAACTTGCATTTAGAGTCTAAGAAATCATCTTGCCCTTTGCCTTCCTTTCTTTCCTTAGAGAAGAGAGGGAAGGAGCAAGTATTAGAGGAGGTGGAGGATGGCAGAAAGCCGCAGGCAGGACAGCGCTGGCCTGGGGGCTCTCGCAGCCTTGGTTTGCATTCTGACTGACTGCACAGACCACAGGCTGCATCCCAGTGGCCATCTGTCCTCCTTCCAGGAGGCCAGCAGGTAGCACTACAGAGACACTGGGCTGGGAGGGGAGGGGAGGCACCTCCTTTGTCTCTGTCTCCCAGGCCCTGAGAGCTACGTCTAGCTGGACAGTGGACAGTGCTGGGACCCCATCCAACCATACTCACCTACAGCTATTTCCAGACACTCAGAAGTGGCTGGTGCTCAGGGCTGAGCCGGGGTTCCTACAGGCTCTGCTCGCTTGGTAACAGGGGTGCCATAGACCCCCACAGCACCCTGGGCACCACCCCCACCTGCTGCTCTCACAGGCCCAGGGCTATGTGTTCCCAAGGCTGGGGCTGGGTCTTCCCTGTCTGCACCTCTTTTCCAAACCCAGCCCCAAGCCCAGCTGTCCCAATGCCACAGCTTCTCCATCCCAAGCCATGCAGGCCAGTGTCTAGGCCTGGTGTGTGAGTCAGGTGAGGAAGGATGAAGTCTTCCTCCCCTCTCCATGTGTGTGCACTGAGCACTTTGATTCTCAAAAATCAGCATGCAAACATTTACTCCTAGAGCTTGTGAGAAAGCCCCCTTCCCTGGCCCCAGCCCCCAGATTTGGCCTGGGGGGGTCCTAAAGTCTGTGGGCCACACTTTGAGCAAGGCCAGAGTAGGCTCCCTCACGGCCAGATGGGGCAGTCTCTGCCAGGCCAGGCAGTGAGGACCAAGGGCACAAGGCCCATGCTGGTTGCCCTTGGTGGGGTAACAGAAGGCACTCCTCAAAGCCAGCACTGCTGCATCCTAGTCATATTTCTCCTCTAAGGCTTGTGGGAGGAGTGTGAGAGGCAGAGAGTGCGTGTGTGCACGTGTGTGTGTCCTGTCCAACCTGAACACAGCAGACACTAGTGAGAGTAGTCAGAATAGCTCTAATCAGTGCTGGAATATACTCTCCCCAAAGGGAATAGAGTCCTTATGGGACTGGACCAGCAGAGGGAGTGAGGAACAGGGAGAGATGAGTCAGGAAGGTGAGAGATTACAGAAGGGAAGCGGGTGTGAGTCCGCTGAAGCCCATGGGTTTGCTGACAGTGCATCCCGAAGCCAGACGCCTCCCCTGACAGAGGCTGGAGCCAGGGCCCATCCTCAGTTGTGTGTGGAACAGATGACCAGTCTCTTTGGCAACCCTGAGGTTTACCAGGCAGGCACTCTAAGAGGAGCTGAGGTCTTCCAAGGATCCAGCTTGTTCAAGTCTGCTGGCCAGGGTGAGACCCAGTGACGGGGGCTCAGAGTTGCCAGTCTGGGGTCTGGTCATTTCCACCACTAAGTGCTAGTCTTGTGCTAACTGTGAGGCTCTGGGTCTTCACAAGGACCCCCTGGACAGAGGGTCAGACCCTGGTCTCACAGTGAGAGTACATGCCACAACCCAGATGAGCCCTTTGAACCCACTTCCATCAGAGATTCAGGACAGTGCCCTCCTGGCCCCCAGCAAAACCTGTCTCTGCTTCCAGTCTGTGTCATGCCAATCTGAAAACATGAACTCCAGGGAGGCCACAGAGGCTGTAGAAGGCCTGGGTCTTGTAGAAAAGAGATGTGGGAAACATTGGGCCTTTTTGGTGGTGATGAGGGAATCTCAGCCAGTCCAGTTGCTTAGGCCCTAACGTCTTAGGATATGGAGAGCATGTGTAGAAATAGCCATTTAACCAAAAGTGTCCAAAGCTCTTCAAACATGATGGGGGACCCACCTGCCTGCACAGCTGGCATAGGTGAGGGGCCCTGCATGTCACATGGAGAGGTGGGGACATGAGCCTAGGGTGTGAGTGTGGGGCAGCACAAACAAGGACACAGATGAGTTCCCCTCCATGCCCAGCCCCTGCTGAGGACCCCAGTGTAGTGAGTGGTCACAGCAGGAGGGGTGTGAGTGGGGCTGTGAGCAGTCAGGCCTAGTCACAGAGGAGAAACAGTCCAGCTTCCTTATAGATCTGTGTTTGAAAAGACAGAGGAAATTTCTATGTAAAATATTTTTGTGTAAAAAAATTAAAAGTGTCAAAAGAATGTTGGAAAATTAAAAAATAAGTAAAAATTTCATAAAGTGGGAAAAGTAGCCCCAAGTGACAGTACCCTACACTGAGGGAAAGTAGAGGGGAAAGGGCGTGTCATGCCGGCCCTGGCATAGCAGAGGCAGTCAGAGCCAGGTTCACCCACTGTGCTGTCTGTTCCCGCCTCCAGGTACCGTGTGGTGGTCTCGTACCCACCCCAGAGCGAGGCAGAGATCGAGCTGAAGGAAGGCGACATTGTCTTTGTGCACAAGAAACGGGAGGACGGCTGGTACAAGGGGACCCTGCAGCGAAATGGCCGCACGGGCCTCTTCCCGGGCAGCTTCGTGGAGAGCTTCTGAGGACCATGCCCTCCCCTGGCTACCCAAGGGGTCTCCTGGGAATCCCCAGGGCATGAGGAGAGGGGCTATGGCTGCCTAAGGGCCGGGGTCTTCTCCAAGGTGGCTGGTGGGGACATCATGGCCTGGGGCAGAGGCCAAGGCTGGGGAAGTCACATATTTGCCCAAAACGCCAATGGAGAGCACACCCTGGGGTGTTCATTGAAATGCCCACCCCTCTGTGCAAACTGTAAAGAAAGCAGCTCGTAGAAGAAAACACACCGTGCAGGCCTGTTGTGGCTGTCGGGGTTTGGAAGCTGCAGGAAGGCGGTGACTGCCCTGAGCTTCCCGCAGGGCCCAGATCCCTGCCACCTCTCTATATACCTCAGTCACCTGCTGCCCAACCGCTCAGCAAGGGTGTTAATGGTGGGGGGGGCAAGGGGCCAGGAGTCCCTCGGAAGATCCACCACATGGCTCCTGTTGGGAACTAGAGCAGAATCCTGGGTGGCTTTATCTCCTGCCAGCATTGTAAGTGACACTCTCTACTTCACCACCACTGTCCTTTGCATTGCTTCTTTCTTACGACATCTTTTTAACGTGAAGCTGTTAGACTTTATATATTTCTAATAGGTCAGACATTGCCTATTTTTCATACATCTGGTGCTGCCTTTTTGTAAAACTAGTAATGACTTGGTTGAGCTTGAAAGAAAAAATGTCTGAAGCGACATCAAAGGGGCAGAATTTTTATATTTACCATATGAATTTTGGAGAAAGCTGAATAGGCCACATCCTCCACATGTTGGCGTTGGCCACCACTCAGTGGGGTGGGAGCAGATCCCTTTAGGTGGCTGGAGAGAGTTGGGAAACAGCCTGTTTCTTTCAACCTTTACCCAAACTCCATGCTCCGTCTAGACAGTGATGATTATTATTCAAGACCTGGAAACATTTGGAGGAAGGGCCACTATGATTGTCCTTTTGTGTCTGTAGAGTGAACACATAGGTCCACCCCAGCCCAGGAAGGCAGAATCTTCCTTTGATTGCTTCAGAGAGAATGACTTCCGCAATTAGCATTCTCAAAATACCATTTCTTGCTGTCAAAATGTGCAGTGGTACAAACTGCACCACCTAGCAAAGGTTTTTCTCTTCTTTTTTAAAAATAAATGACTGCTCCTGTATCAGACAGTGCAGAGACCAGAGGCGCAGTGAGGACAGGGGTGGCCGCACCTCTGCAGACATGCAGCATCGGGGCCGGGTAGGACAAGAGAGGAGGGAGGGAAGCTTTGGTCCTGGGACTTTCCCCTAAGTGGGGCTGACAGGCCTATATTCCTTAGCACAGCAGATCGAGTCCCAAGGACACTGATGGAGGGGCCCTGTCAAGAGACAGTTTTATTCTTGAGATTCACGCCTTAGGCACACATTCTGTCATCTCAAATTCTCAAGTCATAACCCCTCTTTCTCTCCCTTCATTTTTACACAAACCACTGAGACTTAAATTAGACTGAATAAATTTGCCTTTGGTAACATAGGTTTTCAGGGACACAACCAGCTCCAGAAACACATTGTTTTTCCTGGCATGAAGCCTTTGAAATTTGGGCAGCGTTGTTTTCAGAGTTCCCATTTAGGGACGTGGCTTGGCTACTCGTTCTCACCAGGTGGCCACCACACTTGGGGAAGGGGGGGTGGGGGGAGTCCAGCCTAGAGAAAGGCTCTTTTCCTCCCGCCAGATGGCAGTAGATTTAATAGATTTGAGGAATGTGTTCAGAATTGAAGAAGAAAGAATCTTATAAACACAGGGATCCCTGAAAGTTAGTGACAACCAGAGGGTACCTATTTGCCCTTGCTTCCGAATTAATTGCCATGCACAAAAGTCCTGTGCATGTTTAAATTCATGCTGTCACCAAAGAGGGGCGTGGATTAACACCCTGAGTGAGACATGTGTTCTCCAGCAAAACCAGACTAACTTAAGTGTCCACATAATAAACGCTTTTTAAAACCAGGGCAGCTACCAAGCAACAGAATAGACTAACTTGGACCTTCTTTCCTCTGGTGCTTCCGGTAGGAATGTATTCAAAACCCAGGTGATAGTGGGTGAGCCAGCAGCCCCAGGCTGAGCACCCACACCACACAGGAGAGGCTAGGGCAGGCATCACAGTATCTTCAGAAGAGATCGGCCAGCCCCTGTCACAGCAGAGTCAGGGGTGGGCGTTGGTGCTGCCTTGGGAAGGAAGTGATGCCGTGGGCCCAGCCAGTGCCAGGGCCTGTTCTCTGCGAGCTCTGGGGGCTCATGCCAGGACTCCAGAGAGCAAGGAAAATGCACACAGTCGGTGCTTGTGCTGAGTGTTTCCCACACCTGCAGCCTTCCAGACAATGTAACCTGCAGATAAGAGCAGGAGTGGGATTCGCCCTTTCCTTCAGGCCTCCTCATCTTGAAGGACAGACTATTGTGGCTATACATTGCCTAAAACTCTGCTGTTCCATGCTGGCCTCAAAATTAGACATGTCTTAGTTGTGTGGTGTCATTTGGTGGCCCTGGTGAGGAGCTGGGAGGAGCCCAGTACGGTTCACAGTCGTAACTGAGTGAGGCCAGCAGACCCCAAGGAGCCAGGACAGCTACTGCCAAGGGCCCAGGGAGTGGGCACAGCAGCGGGGTGGTGGGCCATGGGCTCTCTCCCGAATCCTCCCAGGGTGAATGCCAGGCTGGGCGCCCTGAAACAAGCTCAGCAGACTGAATGAGATCCTCCGTACTTCGCCCAGTTCACACATACACCCCAGTGTTCTTGTTATACGCAAATGTCAGCGTGTGGTTTTGGAAGACTTGACAGTAATGACAAACTATGATGCCTGTGTTTCCGAGTCTTTAAATAAAAATGAACATGGAGAGGCCTTGTGTCTGGATGGCAGGAGCAGCAGAGTCTGGGTGGAGGCTGCCAGGCCCCTCAGTGCTCCCTTGACGTCTACATCAGGGCCACTGAGGAGACCAGGGGTCATGGCAGCAGTGATGTGAGGTGGCTGTACCCAGCACATGCTGGAGACCCATAGGCTGGGCAGTGAGGGTGGAGCCACAGGAGAAAGAAGCATGCCTGTAAGGGCAAGGGGACTATAGATGACTTGCCTTCTCCTTTCTATCAGAAGTGTGTGGTGCTGACCTCTATGACGGGCATCCTTCTGGGTCTACCCTTATCTCTCTGGTTTTCAGGGTGCCCCGGCCATGGAGAGAGATTCTCTGGAGCACGGATGGGTGCAAGGAATCCCAGAAACCAGGCAGACAGATTGACACCAGCAGAGTGTCAGGAACAGTGTGAAATGAGCTTCTGTTGCCCTCTTAGCTGAGACACACACCCACATGTGTATACTTGAGCTAGAAAGATGCTTAGCAGAGGGCCATTTTACTCCTCTGTAACAATTACATGAACTTGTCAGGCATGGTGAGACAGGAGGATTGCTTAAGCCCAGGAGTTCAAATCCAGCCTGGACAACATTGCTAAGAAAAACTTAAATAAACTTGTATAAGAGTAAATAATACGGCATGGGTAGTTGTGGGGCAGGCTGATGTGGCCCACCCTGTGTCCAGCAGGCTGTGTGGAAAGTGCTCTTATCTTTGTTTGCTAGATAATCAGTCACAGTTAGAAAAGGTTAAATGAACTGTCCTGGGACAGATAGCTCCAGTGGACTGCCATGACTCAAACTCAAGTCTGCCCTTCTGACTCAAAAGCTAGGGGCTAGGCTTGGTACCTGTGGCTCAACTGGCTAAGGCGCCAGCCACGTACACCTAAGGTGGCAGGTTCGAATCCAGCCCAGGCCTGCCAAACAACAATGATGGCTACAACCAAAAAATAGCCAGGCATTGTGGTGGGCGCTTGTAGTCCCAGCTACTTGGGAGGCTGAGGCAGGAGACTTGCTTGAGCCTAGGAGTTGGAGGTTGCTGTGAGCTGTGATGCCACGGCACTCTACCCAGGGGGACAGATTGAGGCTCTGTCTTAAAAAAAGCTAGGGGCTAAACTTATGCCCACAAACGAAGGTGGGAAGAGGAGGTCCAGAGGAAATGTAGGCCATGTGCATCACAATCTGGAAAGGCTACCTGGCAGGCCAACACAGCCTGTCTGCTGGACAGAGACATCCTGACTATAAGACCATACAGCAACCCCTCAGGGCCTAGTGCCATTCTGCATTCAAGTCCCATGTCCCACTCCCAACATTCAGAATCCATGTTCACTAAGCAAACAGGAGTAATTTGCCTGAACACAGGGAGAAAAGTGTTAGGGAGGGCAGCACAGCCGCTCAGCCTGTGCACAGGGACATTTCTCATCAGCCGTTGGTGAACGGGGCTACCTCAGTCCCTGGGGGAATGCTGAGTCTTCTCTCCTAGGTTCATCTCCATAGGTCAGCCCTTCACCTAGCCATTCCAGGTCCTGCAGGGGGAGTGGCAAGGGTAAGAGCCACTGGCCCTCGGCAGAGTGGCAAAGTCTGTGCACACCTGGCTGTGGTACAAGATGGGCAATCTCAGACACCTCAACAGTCTCTTGGGGCTCCAGGAGAGGGAACCAAGCAGGCTAGAGGCCTCCTGGGGCATTCAGGGGTTGGGCAGGCTGCAGCCTGGAGAGAAGGTGATTTACAGTCTTACTTACATAGTTTCCACAGACATCGTCTCAATCCTTACAACAGCCCTTGCAGTGTGGTTCTGATCATCCCTATTTCACAGGTGAAATTACAACTCTGAGAAGCTCTGTTATTATTATTAGTTCTGAGTTAAATAAGGGGCAGAGCCAGGACTTCTGACTGTAGTAGAAAGAAGGTTATGCCAGCAACCATCGACTGAAGGGGCACTGCTACCACATTGTTCTACAGGTGGAAAAATCATGTATCTTAGGCCACACACTAGGCAGAGCTGTGGTCCTGTCTGTCGGAGAAGAAAAAGGGCCAAAATAGCCCTTGGACACTGGTGAGGAGTCTGTGTCAATCCCACAGGCCATGAATAGATGGTGATCAGCTGGAAGCCGGGTACTCTGCCCTTCCCCAAGCAGAAA